GAGTCGTCCTGGCTGGTGGACTGTCCTGTCTTTGCCTAGGAGGCTTGGCACTCCTTCTGCGGTTTCCGCACGCTTGAGTGGCGGGAGGCTTCGACAGTGCTTCAGGTTTTCCTGGAGGGCGACCTTCAGCACCTCAAGGTGGCGCAGGTGGCGGAGGACTTGCGCGCTCGGGGCCTTTTGATTGCGGCCTTGCGCTTCTTTTCCCAACTGGAGCTGTCTTCTGACTGACTCACGGAGGATTTGGGGGCGCTTGGGGCTGTTCCTGGGTCTGGTGCCTTGACCTCGGCGGCTCGCTCATCGGCAACCTTGCTGAAGCTTTTTGCGCTGATCTTGCGGGATGCAGTGGCTCTGTTTTATGCCTCCCGGCTCATATGTCGGCAGATGGTGCTTGCCGCCTCTGTGGAATCCGCTTGGGCCTTGGCTCTTAGGATGTCTTTCCCCTTTTTGCCCTCTCTTGTTTAAGGCTTCAGCCGTTACGCAGTTTATTCAGGCTGCTTCGGCTTCTTGCCGTCCTATGTCGGACATGCTGGTTCTCCGGGGGTCCCGTGGTGGGCCTTCCCGGAAAGGTCGTGCCAAGGCTCAGGGTTCTTCTCTAGGCCACTGGTGTCAGGTTCGGGTTCAGCTCCTCCTTCGGACCCGCTTTCGTCTGGTCGGCGCGGTGTTCGCTCTGTGCAAGGTTCTGGGTCTCGTAAGGGGCGCCAGCCCTTTTGTGGTTCGCCCCATTGACGGGGCAATGGGGGGAAGGTTTGCGCTGTTCGCTCACGCCTGGTCCCACGATTTGTGGGCGTTTCAGGTCGTTTCGCACGGTCTCCGGTGGCGTTGGGTGGCCCCTTCCCCTGCGGGGGGTTTGGGGATGGCAGGGCAGGCTTCTTTCCCTGCGCTCTGTCAGGTCATCTTGGCGTGGGTTCGCTTGGGCGTGGTCGAAACAACAACGTCCCTCAGATGGGTTTCCCATCTGTTTCCCGTCCCGAAACGGGACTGCATGGACCTGTGGTTCATTCTGGACTTGTCCTGTCTGAACCCCTGGGTTCATTGCCCCTCCTTTCGGATGACCACGCTGTCCCAGGTTCGGCTTCTGTTGGAGATGGGCGCTTGGATGGTGTCCCTGGACCTCCGGGACGCTTATTGGCATGTCTCGATTCAGCCAGGGTTCAGGGACCTGCTCAGTTTTGTTGTGGGGCTTTGTGCTTACCGCTTTCATTGTCTTTCATTCAGCTTAAACCTGGCACCTCGCGTTTTCACGCGCCTCACGTGGGTCGTGTTGACCCGTCTGCGTCTGTTAGGTGTTCGGGTGTTGGCCTACCTCGACGACTGGCTGGTTTGGGCTCCCAGCCAGTCGGCTTGCTTGCTAGCCAGGGATTTGGTTCTTTCCCAGCTCACCGGGTTCGGGTTCTTGGTGAACTGGAGGAAGTCCCATCTGATTTCCTCCAACGTTCGGACCTGGCTGGGCATTGTGTGGGACTCTCGGACTGCTTCCTTGTCTCTTCGTCCGGAGTCTCTTCTGCAGCTGCGGTCCTGCTTGTGCCTGTTTCTGGGGGGCTCCCGGGTCACCCGGCGGTTGCTCGAGGGTCTGTGCGGGAGCTTGAACTTCGCGATACTGGTCTACCTGCTGGGTCGGGTTTGGCTTCGTCGGCTGTTGTGGTTCCTACGGGGACATCCCTTCCGCCTCACTCGCGATCGCTGGGTTCGGACCCCGGGGGCTTTGCGTCGGTTGCTGCGTTACCGGCTTCCTCTTCGGGTTTTTCGGGGCTCAGTGCCTTGGCGCCTACCTGAGCCCTTGCTCGATGTGTTCACGGACGAGTCGTCTCTCGGCTGGGGCTTTCTGGCCAGTGCTCACCAGGCTGGCCAGGGTCGGTGGGGTCCGTCCTAACGTCTAGCCCACAGCACTGTGCCGGAGTTTGCGGCGGTGTGGTTTGCTCTTCAGAGGATTCGAGTTGCCCGCGGGTCGACGATCCGGCTCCATTTGGACTGCTTCCCGGTGGTTCATTGTCTGAACCAGGGGAGGTGTCGAGTCGCTTTGGGTGACTCGTCTGCTGAGTTCTTGGGGGTTGGCTCTTCTGGCAGTTCACGTACGGGGTCTATCCAGCGTCTTGGCCGATGGCCTGTCTTGTTTCGTTCCCCTCTCCACGGAATGGACGGTCGACGCCGACTCCTTCCGTTGACTTTGCCGGACGTTCGGATGCCCCCGAGGTGGACCTCTTCGAGTCGGCGTGGTCGCAGCGCCTTCCCCTGTATGTGTCGCCTTTTCCCGACTGTGAGGCCGTCAGGGTTGACTCTTTTCAGCAGGACTGGAGTTGTCCTCTTGGCCCCCTTGATGGCCGGCCCAGCTGTGGTTTCAGGCGCTGCTTGCTCGGTGTCCGAACCCGGAGGTTTTTCTGTGGCTCCGCCTCTTCCAGCAGATCAGACTGGTACGTCATGTTGCTAGTTCGATCTTCTCCTTGAGTCTTCGTATATGGTATTTTTTACTCGAGTTTATCATCATCTCTATGGTGATCAGGTGGCTTCCTTATTAGTGTCCCACCTGCGGGCTTTGTCTCGGCGGCAGTATGAAGTTTCCTGGCGGTCCTTCCGGTTCTTCTTACGTCTTCGTCGTTGTACTTCGCTTTCTGTTAGGGTGGTGTTGTCCTTTCTCTCTTGGTTGTTCCAGGACCGTCGTCTTATGCCCAACACTGTCGCCGCGTATCGTGCGGTGCTGATGGAGTCGCTTCAGCTTGCTTTCGGTATTGATGTCACGTCTGCACCGTTTCGCAAGCTGTCTTGGGCATTGTTTCACCTCTGGCCTGCTCATGCGCCGCCTGAGCTGTCCTGGTCATTGGACAGAGTGCTCTCTTTTCTTTCTTCTCCTCATTTTGTCGTGGCCCCTTCGGTTCCGGAATGTTTTTCGAAGGCTCTTTTTCCTGTTGGCATTGGCCTCTGGTAGTCTGGTGGGTGAGCTTCACGCTCTCCTGCTGTGCAGAGGTTTCTGCTTCTTTGGTCGGGGTGATGCTTTGTTCGTCTGCAGCCTTCTCCTCCTTTTCTGGCGAAGAATGAGACTACTGCGTTCTGGAGGGTCCTTTAGGTTGTTGATGCTTGGTTGGTTCGGCCGGGGGTGCATCATGTTTTGTGTCCGGTTGTGGCTTTCCGCTGTTATTTGCTCACCACGGCTTCTATGTCCGTGGATGCGCTTTGGGTTGATCCGGTTTCCCTTCTTCCCTGCTCGAGGGTGCGGGTCTCCCAGGTCGTCCGCAAGGTTATTAAGGTTAGCCAGCCTGCGGTCTATCCCCGTGCCCATGACATTTGCAAGTTTGTGGCTCTTGCCGCCATCTTTGGCAATATGTCCTGGGCTGACATTCGGGAGCGGGGATTTTGGCGGTCGAACAGGGTCCTGGCTGCTCATTACCTTGTAAACATTCCTGGGCCCGGTCAGGCCTGTGTCACTTTGGGTCAGCGGATACAGCCAGTTGTCTCGACTTCGGGTTGAGGAGTGAGCAGCAACCGCCTCCCGGGTAAATCCCTGTTCTTTTCCTCTGTGGGTAGTTAGCTCAGGGGAGCCGTAGGGGCTCCCCCCAAAAAACCAACGTTGAATGTTATGAAACACCATTTTCTGGGTGAGTCCTGGAGGCTCCCCGGCATCCCTCCCTCCCTCCGGTCGGCGTTTTTTCGAATGTTTTGACATCCAGCCTCAGAACTGGGGTGTGGATCGCTGGCGCAGTAGGTCTGGGGCTGCTCCTTCCCCCTCCCGGGGAGGGGGGGGGGACTGCGCAGACAGCGGCACGACGACGGATGACGTCATACTAGTTTGCTTGTTTTTGTTTGGGGAGTTCTATCCACTCGTTCGGCTTTTGGTTGCAATTTTCACCAGAATAGGGGTTTGTTTTGGGACTCCTACCTTTCTGGGTGCCTAACCTGGTTGATGGCAGACATAGAATGCTTCCAATTACACGGGGGTTTCTATAGGCCATTGCTCCCCTTGCCTCTCTAGAGGGGGGCCAGGTTCTAGCTCGTGGACCCCGGTAGGCCCATAAGAACTCCATACACATGACTGATGCCAAAGTCTGACATTAGCATATCAGCCTAGTAAGCTCCAGGAGCCTCTGGGACTCACCCAGAAAATGGCGTTTCATTACATTCAATGCTGGTTTTTTGACATTTAGCCTAAGAACTGACGGTTGGATCGCCGGCGTGAGAATCTGGGGCTTCCCCCTTCCCCCTCCCGAGGAAGGGGGGCTTCGCAGACAGCGGCATGGCAACGTGATGACATCATGCTCATTTGCTACTTGTCGTTTGGGGAGTTCTGTTCACTCGTTCGGCTTTTGGAAGCAATATTTTCACCAGAATAGGGGTTTGTTTTGGGGTGCCTACCTTTCTGGTGCCAGTCCTGGTCGATGGTAGACATAGAATGCTCCCAGCCACATGGGTACCTGGGAGTTAGTCAGCTGTCACGGGCTGCTTCCTTGGGGTGGAGGCCTGGTCGAGGGCCGGGCCTCGGGGACACTAAAGCCCCGAAATCATCTCAAGATGGGGGTTTCTATAGGCCATTGCTCCTCGTGCCTCATCTGAGGGGGCCAGGTTCTGGTTCATGGTCCCCGGTAGGCCAAACTCGATGCACTTTGACTGATGTCAAAAAAGCTAATAATATCCTATCAGCTTGGATAGCTCTGGGGATCCTCCAGGACTCGCACATAAAATGGCGTTTCATTACATTCAATGCTGGTTTTTTCCTACTAGTTAACCATTATTGAGAGTATGACTGATATAGTTGTGACTTGTTCCTTTAATAATAATTTAGAATAAGGATAAATGGGCATGTTTCATTATCTTATGTTTCTGTAAATATAGATGAGAAAATACAAGTGTAGTATGAAGATTGGCATGTATTAGGAGTTTAGACTCGAGTAAGGCTGTTCTGCAACATAAATGTTCAGAATTTTAGTCTGTCAAATAAACCTCTTTATACTATTTACTCTATCTTTACAATGATTGTTATTATATATCATTCAGTTATTATTGTTCATTCACAGCCAGCAGTTTTATTTGCGGGTGAACACTGCCATCCAAGCTTTTACTCAACGGTCCATGGAGCATACCTTTCTGGCCGTGATGCCGCTCAGGTACTGTGTGTGCCTGATACTCCTCCTGAAGTGGTCCTGGATGTTGAAGGCACAGCTGATTTATCCTCATGGCTAGAGGGCATTTCTCTTACTTAATTTTATTATATATCATGTGATTTTAATATGTATAGGTTTATGTAAAGTTAATCTTGTAAGAATTGCAAATACTGTACATTACTGGTTGTAGAGGAATATATTATTTGAGTAGTATTGTAAACCAAACTACCAAAAGACATGGTGTGTTTTTAATGTGTATTTTTTATGAATGCAGACTTCAGACACTATTATAAATTGAAGAACTTCTGACCATGAAACAAAATAATTATCAATTTCCTTCAAATTAGCAATATGATGCTAAATGTGCTGTCATACAAATACTGCAGCAGAGCTCAAGGAATCATTTTAAAAATATAGCGATTCTGTGAAATGTTATCTAAGTTTTGAGTAATGCTGTTAATAAGTGTTATTATATAACCTTTTTTAAACATTTGTGAAAGCACACAAACCTGACTTTAGTTAAGCTTTCCATGGGGCTATGGAACTTGTAATTGCTATATAGTATATTGATTTCTGAGTGTCATGCTGTAAGTAACTTCTAGTGCAGGTTTTACCATACTGTAGTGAATATATACAGTGAACCCTTATATAATAAGGTAGTTATGTTCCTGGATAAAAGGGCTCATTTTATAAAACTGCTCTACTGTATATATATATATATTGAACAACAAATGGGAAAGTTTGGATTATATTCCCAAACATGGTAAGATTGTACATTTGAGAAAGTGTTTTTATTAATTAATTTAAACATTGTGAATTGTTGGCATATTGAAGATGATATAGGTGATGGCTGTGGAATGTTGTTGCTGTTGTGAGGGAATGCTGACAGTAGCTATGGCTGCACTAAATTCCATGGACCAGTCTTACCATGCAGGTGCCATCTGCTATTCTTCTGCACATTATGCCAATCGGCTCCAAAATGATCTGTCTGATATGAGTCCTGTGCTCTTGCTGGCTCTGATCTCTTCATTGGCAGTGACCAAAACTCAATTATTAGATTATTTATTCTAAGATTAATAATTATTATTAATTATTAAGCTTAAATTATTCACACCTAGTCTCCAGGACTTTATGTTCAGTTTCTTTTGGTTTCATTGTCTGCAGACATGTTTGAACCACCTCCAGGAGTTCACTTGGATGCTCTTGCTGTTTGCTGGCCTCTTCCTTTTCATCCTCTCTTTTATTGAGTAGGCTGTTGATTCGGATGATGGGGAATTTTAAGGAGCACCCAGCATGGAAATTTCTCCTGAAGGAGCCTCTTGCCAGGCTCTTGCGGGCATAGAAAAAAAAAGACTTCACTAGTGAACTTCTTTGTTAGAAAAAATTTCCAGAACACACAGGTAATGACCTAGACATTCTAGTGTCCATGCTGTAAGAGAAGCACCGAACCCACCCAACCCATCCTAACCATTCACAGTAAAGAGAAGAACACAGTAGAGCACCATACACTTGACCAATGGATTGGAAGAATGCTCTTTACAACAAATTTTGCCTAGCACTAATGCTTTGTATCACTTGGTTCTTACCAAACCTCTCCTGTTTGGTTTCTTGTTGGATCTGGCTTAACACTCTTCGCTCATGCTTGCAATGACTTTCTTTCCTGTTCATTTGGTCAACTTGCCATTGCAACCAACTTGGTGCCCAGATCAACTGCTCTTTTCTTCTTTTTATGTCTGTAGATTTTCTACATTAGTGAATATCATGTTAAAGGCAGTGTTGTTCGTGGGTTTATTCATTAGGACCATGTGGGTGATCTGATTGCTGTGCATCAAGGGCAAGGATTTTTGTGGAGAAAATCAGTAGGAGTCGTGAGGAGGATTATAACCAGTTGCATGTACAACTCTTCTCTGAGTTTGGAGCCCTAGAGGATTCATTGGAATCCCAGGTTGGAAGTCTTATGACCATATTGTGGTGTAGTTGTCTGAGGTGTTTATTTGGGAGTACCCAGCACATAGGTTCGAATCCTCATGGCTCCTACAGATTTTCTCATTGATATATCATATTAATGTGATTTTTTAATGCAAGGTGTGGCACGGCATTTTCCCCTCCTAGCTGTACCACTATCACTGAGGGGTACTTCTGTCACATAGAGTGAGGGTCACACACATGACCTTGTACCCTGTGAGGAGTGGAGTAAGGCCAGTGGTCCCCTAGGTCACAGTCTCTTCCCACCCGTCAGTGCACAGAGCTCAGTATCTTCGACCTAGCCCCCCACAAAAAATAACTCTCAAGGTTGCCAACCTGGCTAGCTCACACTGCCGCTACCAGATAAACTTCATTGTTGTGGTACTTGCTTGGTCCCAGCTCTAGCTTAGATGGTAGAAATCATACTCCATCATAAGCCCAGGTAATGAGTTTACAAAGTGAAGATGGGGTCTTAATACCAAACGCAATAAAAATGACATTTGTTTACTGAAATAGTTTTTACATTGCTGGTGGCCAACAAAATTCTGATGATAGGTACATTATGGCAACACTCCGAAATTTGTAGCAATAAATGGCAACTGCCTAAGATCCTCTCCACTGCAAATTGGAGCACCACATGTTATGTCTTCACTTTTAATACACTGATGATCAACTAAATCACAACATTGGATACTAGTAAGTGAACTTTAGCACAAACACATTCTTAACGAACTTATTGTTACATTGTTTTCTATAATAATAACTGGTTGCCTTGACCATCTGTATCAGATAAACTACAGTATACAGAAAATATCACCACTTGAGTATACATAGGAGTATATGTATGTGAGTATACTCCCTCATGAAAAATTAATAAAGTAAACTCATATAATTAGTAGAGCAACACAATGAATAGCCTAGCACAAGGGGTATGGGTTGGGGAATTGATCTACCTTAGATGGACTGTAGATGCAATGCTCCCATTTCAGTTGACTGTTGTAAGTGGCAGAATAGTCACCAGGGCATCTTCTTGATCCTGATTGATCATCTCCAATCGTCCTTATTGAATCACAGTGGTAGGATCAACAGAAGGTTCCAGATGCTCTTTGCTCCAAATGCACTGGTCTATCTTGGCTTCCCCCATTGCAGAGTGCTGTTCCTGAAGACTACACTCAACCAGGTTCCCTCCCCATTCCTTGACCAGGACCACTGTTTGTCTCAATTCACTCCAAACCCCAGCAGGGATTCAGAGGTCACTCAGTTGGCCTTTCCAACCTGCCCTCTCCTGGTAGACAGGTAGACTAATGCACCTTGAAGTCCAACTTCCTGTAGTTTGGGCACTCCTGAATTCTTCTCGGGCAGTTACTCGACATCCCCATTGCCTTCGACTTTGATTTCTACCAGCTAGCATGCACCTCCACAGGCAAGACTGCTTTTTGCTGGAGAGACAAATGGTGTGTCCAACCCTGGCATTCACTAGGAGTGAAGAGATACTGTTTCTTCCACTCACGATGCGGGTGGTGACCTCATGTCATGCGACTGTGTATTGGACGTGCTTCCAGCGGCCAGCCAATCACAATTACTGTTTTCCTGGAGACCTAGTGTCCTCGTTTCCAGTTTGCTGTTGGTGGGAAATGGTTCGTTCTGAGCTTGGGTGTGTCAGCCATCATGCCTCCCAGGTTGGGCTTCTTACCCGCCTTCACCCAGCTTGCAAAAAACACACAAAATTCGGGGTTCATTCTTTACCTTAAATGTAACTAAATAAAACTATGGGGCTTCTATACTCTGTACAGGGGGATTATGACTCTTATAGGTAGGAGAGAAGTGTATCTTGCTGGTACACATAACAAATGGTCTTTGTTGTTTGACCCTAGGGAATAAAGCTTGATAGATTGTGGTTCCAGCCCTTGTCCTCTGGTCATGTACAAACTAACTTTGGCTTTCATGCCTCTTCTTCGAACATTGCTGTGGGGTACAGGTCATGGTGACCTGATATTACCTTTGGTCTTTGCTATTTTTACACATTTTGTGATGGAGAACACTTTGACAACTGGTTTACTTCTGCTTTGTACAGTTTGAAGATTCTCTTAAGGGCTCTTTGATCCCATAGGCCATCATTCTTGCCACCAACATTTTCCTGTTGAGTTTGAGACTATTCTTGCCCATAGGTGTGTTTTTTACTGAATGTATGTGGTGCCTAATTATAACTTGCAACTTATATGGCAGTGGCCAAGCTTTAGCTTCACATGCTGGTATGCTAGAGCTGAAGGGCTCTGCTCTCAGTTAGTAAGGTGGTTTTGCTGGATCTCTTCCCTCTAAGGAAGCATATAACCTGTCTTGCTGTAGGTTCTTAGATGCCAAATGGTTTGAGTCTAGTTTAAACTTTGCTCATGGACTCTAATAACAGTTTGTGTCTCACCTGCTCGGTGTCTGCTTCCCTTCCCTCTCCTTATTCTGAGATTCGCAAGAGACTTCAGTCTTGTCTCTCATAGACATTTGCTGGACTGGAGTTTCATTCCTACTATTTCCAAGGAGTGTGTGAGTGTGTTTGGGGGATCCGAGCTTTAGCTGGAGTTTTCTCTACCTCCCTGAGTTTGTAAGTGGGTTTTTTACCTCAGGAAAAGTGAGGGGCATCCAATGAATGGTCTTCATATGTTCTGGTCTGGGTTTTGTACCTTATCCAAGGTCAACCATGGATTTTGGATCTACTTTTTAAGTGTCCATTCTGGTTAATGTTACAGCACTTCTGACATGTAGTGGTATTTGAACTCAACTAGGGTCTTCATCAATCTTTAAGTGTAATTACCTAAATGTAGTTACAGGATGAGACCTACGCTCATGGTGTCCTGTCTTCCCAGCACTCTGTCATATAACGCTTTGACATTACTGATGGTTTTGGCCTCCACCACCTTCTCACCTAACTTGTTCTGGGTCTCGGGAATTCTTCCCTATCAATTTTATTGATTCCTGTTACTATTTTGAACGTAGTGATCATATCGCCTCTTTTTCTTCTATCTTCTAGTTTTTGCATATTTAATGCCTCTAGCCTCTCCTCGTAGCTCTTGTCCTTCAGTTCTGGGAGCCACTTAGTGGCATGTCTTTGCACCTTTTCCAGTTTGTTGATGTGCTTCTTAAGATATGGCACCATACAACTGCTGCATATTCTAGCTTTGGTCTAACAAAAGTCGTGAACAATTTCTTTAGTATTTCTCCATCCATGTATTTAAAAGCAATTCTGAAGTTAGAAAGTGTAGCATAGGCTCCTCGCACAATGTTCTTAATGTGGTTCTCAGGTGACAGTTTTCTATCTAGAACCACCCCCTAGATCCCTTTCTTTGTCAGAATTCTTTAAAGATTTCTCACATAATTTATATGTTGTGTGGGGTCTATGTTCTCCAATTCCACATTCCATAACATGGCATTTATTCACATTAAATTCTGTTTGCCAAGTGTTGCTCCATATACAGTACTTATTTTGTCCAGGTCTTCTTGAAGAGCATGACAATCATCTAGGTTTCTTATCTTCCCTATTATCTTAGCATCATCAGCAAACATGTTCATATAATTCTGTATTCCCACTGGTAGATCGTTTATGTAGACAATGAACATTACCGGTGCAAGAACTGAGCCCTGTGGTACTCCACTCGTGACATTCCTCCAATCCAATACCTTGCCTCTGATTACGGCCCTCATTTTTCTGTCGGTTAGGAAATTTTTCATCCATGTTAGAAGCTTACCTGTCACCCCTCCAATATGTTCCAGTTTTCAGAACAACCTCTTATGGGGAACTCTGTCGAAAGTGCCTTTCTCTTCTAATTACTTTACAGAGCCACAAGTTTTTCTTGGGGCTCATGTCACCCTGTTGTTGCTACACTGCAGGCTTTCTTTTCGAATGAATTAAAAAATTTTGCTTTCTGGTTCTCTCCTGTGGTTCCCTGCCTACACCACTAATATATAGCTTAGGCTGGGCTTTCATCTTGCTGACCCTCATTTCTTCTGGTAGGATTGAATACTCAGTGTTTGGTACCTATTAATCCCTCGTCTTCCTCCTCAGCACTTTCTATTTTCATCACTCTACAGTTGAAGTGAGCTTAACCATGTACATGGTTACATAGACTTTTGCCGACACTTACCTTAGGGAGCAACTGAATGGGAGAGCTAAAAAATCAAGCTTTTGAGTGTATACAAAAAGCACTTTTCTAAGCAGTTACACTCAGTTGACCCCATTCCCACCCTTTCTTTCTCAGTCTTCCTTGCATTTTGTGGTGCTGTTTTCTTGACTGGCAGTTCACATGGAATGTTGATACTGTACATTGTGTTGGGGGTTTTGTTGTGGTGTCAGTGCTGTCACCTGATGGCTGGTGGTTATAAGTACTGTACTGACCTATTGAGCCATTTGTTAATTAGTAATACATTTCTTGGGGATATTTGACACTAAGTGGCTCTTGGAAAGGCCTATAAGAGTTATGGTAATGTACTTTCTGACTACATTCTGATTCTCAACTGCATATTGAACAGAGAATGTATCTTTGGCACCAGAGGTCAGTAGAATCGTGCTTTAGAAAGAACAGAGTTTACGGCACAGAAAAATGCTTTTTATAAATACTCAGTGTTTACATTTTCTTCTAAATAGTTATCCTGTAGCCATTAAAGTTTTATGACCAATCACATGCTTGGCTGGTTCATTGCTAGTGCTATACAAATACTGTACTCTAATACATTATCAATATTAAAAAAGATAAAAAGGAAGTATAAAGTTTTACGAGTCCTTGTACATGTGTATTACATTACATATTATGTATAGCATCACTTGTACATTTTAGACAATGATTTACAGTACCTGTGGCATATTGTGTCAAACTTTTGACTAATATTAGTGAGGTACTGTATCTTTATTTTTCATATTAAGTCAATGACTAGCATTAGTTGTTAAGTCTGCTGTCAGTGGTATGGTGAATGTGTCATTCCTTTCTAAGATAGTTGTTTTTTCCGGTTATAGTTGCACAAATTCAGCAGGGAAGAGTGGTTAGTCTTTCAGAAAGGCTAATACAGTACAATAGTGTCTATTTAACTCAAACATCTACTGGTATGTGCTTAACTAATTTATAAACCAGTTTAAAAATAGTAATTTGTTAAGCACTCTTTATCTTGCTCAGATTGCACTAATTTGCTGCCATTTTCTCTGGTGGTCATGCCTACATAATGCAGTAATAATTCATTGGATAATGATGGCTAGAAAAGATTGATAATGATATTTGATGTAAACTAGCAGACAGGGTTTAACCATGTTTTAAATGCCTCTACACATGCCAGTTCATTCGTAAGAGTTTTGATTGTTTTGATATTCTAAATTGTATACAAGCTTACCATTTATTGTGCATAATAAAATGCGTTTGTAGAGGAAAACAGTGCCATATATTGGTGACTTTTGCCACACCATACTATGTCATTCTCTTGCTTTGGTGAAACAGTAAATACTGAAATAATATTATCACTTGTTTATATATTTATATAACTCTTTTCACAAATCCTGTAAAGCCAAAAAAGACATTAATTATATATATATATATAGAGAGAGAGAGAGACGGAGACAGAGAGAGAGAGAGAGACGGAGAGAGAGACGGAGAGAGAGAGAGAGACGGAGAGAGAGAGAGACAGAGACAGAGACAGAGAGACGGAGAGAGATGGAGAGAGAGAGAGAGACAGAGAGAGAGAGAGACGGAGAGAGAAAGAGACGGAGAGAGAGAGAGACGGAGAGAGAGAGAGAGAGAGAGAGACAGACAGACAGACAGACAGACAGATATTGCATAGTTGGGCTAGGAATCTGGTACTGTATAAGGGTACAGGTATCTATAAACTCTGAATAATCCTTTTGTTACACTTTGCTTGGCCAGAAGCAAAGTCCAGGTTTAAAGAACTCCACCATTCTTTGTTTCTGAATCATATGGAAGTGGATATGATTTTGGTAAATTCCTATTTGAAATTGAATATGTTTTCAAAGACCATTATTTGTATATCTCAAGTTATGAAAGTTAAATGTCAACTTTTGAGTATCCCATCAAATGAATGTTATTCATCATAAATTTGCTCAAACTGTATTCATCATAGCTCTGTACCCAAACTCCATGGGAAGCCATCCTGAAGCATGGCTTAACTTCAAGAGGGAGCATGACATCAAAGACAGAGATAGGCAAAACACTTACAACGATGGAGTACAGTAAATATTCACCAGGGAACATGTGCAAACTGTTTCTCATGTTCCCAAGTCATACACAAATTTGTATGTACCATTGTTGTTCATTCAGTTGTCTGTGAAGTTAATGGTGTACTTCTACTGACATATTTTGGCAAATATGAAGAAAACCATATTTGGAAAACCCAACAGTTGCATGCAATATGAAGCCATGCATTCATTCCTAGTATTAAACTTGGCTGGTTCCTGCAGCCATCAGTATCGTGCTACTTGCTACTCTCACTTGTCAGTCATATTAAGAAGACTAGTCTTTTTTTATAGTCTAATTACAGTTTACAGGTGTAAATGTAACTTTTATTGTACTGCTTTCTTTTCCTTGTAAGCAAAATAAAATTATAATTTATTATAAAAATTACTTTCTAAATATTTATATACATACAAGGAAAAGCTATGCACTACATAAATGTAAATTAATATTTAAGAATTTATAAAAGACAGCTTACATAGTAAGAATGCCTAAAGGTATATTTAATACTTTAAGAGAGGACAATATTTGGGTCTTAATATTTCTTCAGAGACAGTACTGTATTTTTCCACCTTGTTGAAAGTCGGGTGTTGTTGGCATTTTTATTATATTCTTTCCCTGTGACATCTGCAATATACTTCATTAACTGGCAGTTCATTCCGGTGAAGTAATTTCAAATGTGACATTATCAAAAATTATAATTATACACATCAGCCTATAGTAGATTTTGTGCAGAACTGTATTTGTGTTTTCTTGTATTTCATTGTAAGCTTCTCTGTAATTAATTATGTAAAACCAGTGGGAATATATCATAGTAAATTGAAATGTAATAATATTGCACAATATATTTATATTAGTGTTGGGAATCCTTTTCCTTGGTTTCCACTTGTCTTCATGTGCAGGTCACAGACATTGTGAGAGTTGTGACCACAAGTTTGAGGCTCAAAGTCTTGTCTACACTGTATATTATTCTTGTATTTATCCACTCAGCTGAGTGGTGTTTGCAGGAGTTGTCTTCTGCCATTTGTAGTATTCCAGGTGTAAAGATATTTATGGTTAGGATTAAGATTGTAATAAATGTGCAAGTCAAAGAATATGAGAATAAGAAGGAAGATATTGGTTTGGTGAAATAAAGAACCAAATGGACAGTTGCATAGTATCATCTGGCTTCTTACATGATAATACTGTATATTGGAAATGTTTCTGCAAGGAAGTTTGAAAACAGGTTAATGTGAAGTTTGAAATGGGGACAAAAAGGCTGAAAAAAACTTGGAATTCAAATGGGTAAAATAATAAGTATAAGTGTCGAGAGATATTACGGTTATGAGATGTTATAATTGCACAAGTTAAGAGAATAGGTTGCTACACTTCTTTGGAAAATAAGGCTTTCTGGGGTTAGCCCCTTGTGGCTCCCTGAAGCTATCTATGCAGACATGATACTATCTGCTAGCTTACATCAGTCGGTGGAGTTCTGTAGGCCTACAGGAGACCAGTGCCAGTGCTGCCTCCCCCCCCTCCCTAACAGAGACAAGGAGCAGTGACACTTATTTATGCCATCTCGCCGGGAAAGGCAACCAAATAGTCAGCAAATCAAACCAAACCCCTGCTGGCATCAAAACAACCAACAATTTGAACTCGCCTAGAGAACTCTTTCAATTCTGTAAACAAATTATCAAAATCTCTCAGAACCCTTGTG